AGAATATACTGAGTCATTATATAGAAAGGAATTGGCAGATACAGAGGAATTTAAAGAAATAACATATGAGCAAGAGCCTATGGTGATGAAGGAGGAAGTTCAAGCTGCTTTGAAGGAAATAGCAAAAAATAAGGCCCCAGGAATAGATGGTATACCCATGGGTTATCTTAGTTTAATAATGGCAGAAAATTTTAGATGGAATTCTGTATACTTGACATGCTCTCTTCTGTGATAAAGTGTATGAAAATTTGTGAATTTCTGAGTTGTGTCTGGGTTACACATAGGTAACGTTATTGTGATTTAGAATATATAGAAAAATCAAGTTTCTCTTGATAAACTTTTCATTTCGTGTTCAATGATGTAAGGAAACTATCTTCAGTCATTTAGAAGGTTGATAGGGGTGTTCCTAATTAGTGGGAGTGTAATGATATGTTTCAAAATAGGTAGCAGTTTCAGAAACTCTAGGATACTGTCTGGGTTATCATAACTTTATCATTTCCTGGTTGACGCCACCCACATGTCAACTCAAAAACACTGGAGAAATAAGCTGTGTTTTAGGGAAAGAATGAATGTTTCTTGGGTGGCTTCGATTGGTGATGCCATATAGACCAATACCCCAATTAAGGGGCAGTGCTCTTAATGTTAATAAATACCAGGTTAATCAGCATAATCTCTAATTAAAATGTATTTTTTTTTCTGGTGGCCAACTGGGTAAGTTTTTGTAATGCCAGGCAGAAGGTAGTTCTTATCCACCAGATGCTCCTTGGGAGAAAGATGGACAGTCTCTGCCCATGCTTTCTGTAGCTCTGAAAACCCACTGGAGGGTCAGCTATGAGTTTGTTCTGACTGGAAGGCACATAGGAACAGTAGACATTGAAGTCACTATTATATGGCATATAGTTTAGAGCAAAAATGTACTTTATTCCTTAATTCTGAGTGATACTATAACTTGCAACCTATTCAAACTTGTTAATTAAATTATTCTCTAGGCCTAGGCATATTAGTCACTGATATAATATTTTGCATAGAGTTTATGCTCTATCATTTGATTGATTAGAAGGAGGCATGGTTTTGTGGTTTTGTTTGTTTGTTTGTTTTAGGCTTAAGAAAATAATACTGAGCAAATTAGATAGTTGGGGTTTTTAATGAAGAAAATAAAAGTTTGTCTCTAAGTACTGAAAATGCTACTGAATTAAAGTTAATATAGCAGTGTGGGAGCCTAACTTAAATAAAGGAACAAGTAATAATGTTTTTTTACAAGTTGAAAGTCTCAAATTAAATGTATAAAAATTGTTACGTACTCCCACTTTGATTATTATAACTATTAACCCGTATCCGTTTTTATAGCTGAGCTTAGATTTTATAGCTGATTTTTTAAATTAAATATTTGATTCATTGTTTGAGGTTTTTAAATAAATACATGATCTGAAACATTTTATTAAAAAATAATATAGCTATATGGGTAGTAAGCACACACACACGATTCACTTACTCACATCCTGTGTACATGCACTATGTTATATATGCTAGCATGTGTCAGCGTTCTTGCTGTTGTTGTTAGGTACCATCGAGTTGGAACTGACTCCTAGCTGACCCTTGGGTGGATTTTTAGAGCCAGTAAACTGTGTTTGAGGAGACTGACCATCTATTTAAGAATATACCTAAAACATTCTAGATATGATTTTGATTAATAGGCAAGAGCTCCACGGAGACTTCCTGTCCTAATGTTTCTAAGTTTATTGTCTAATGAGTCCTACAAGAGAGCCATTCACTTGAGGAGAACTAGATGGAAATTATTAAAACAGCTCTAAAGATACCCACCTCCTTCTTGTTACTAAAGAGTCTTATGAAACAGTGCTACTTTTACCCATTTTATTTCTAGTGTAACTTTGTGAGCTGCTGAAAGTTTGCATTCATTTAAGAGGCTTATTTAGACACCAGTCATTCAAGAAGAATGAATTCCGAACCATTATAAACCAAACCAGCAGCACAGAAGTGAAAAATCCCATGAACCTTTGCTAAATTATGAAAATAGTGGCATTTGTTCTGTGCCAGGCAAACCCATCTGCAGGATACTGAGGCAAGTGCTCTGAGTCCTGCAGTTGGAAACTGCCTCTTATTAACTGGGCCATGACTCAGGGCAGCAGCCTCCAGATGGCACCACTTCCAGCTTATTTTAAAAGGAAACCAAAACCAAATCCAGTGCCTTAGAGTCAGTTCCCACGCATCTCATCTCCAAGTCTGGACCCCTGCACCTTCTTATCTCGCCTGTGGAGGCACAGGATGTCATCCGTGATTTACATCCATACCTATCATCTATTGTCTTTTAGAATTTCTTTGTTTTCTTTTATAATATGGTTGTCCATTTAATCAGATTTCATTTGAATAACAATACTAGGGAGAGAATTAAAAGGGAACTCATGCAAATTTGTTTGCAGCTTGGCACTACTCAGATATTAAAGCTGTAGGAATAATTTCTAGGCATGGTAAGTTGCGAAAATGGCAGTTCTAACATAGGGATGGTTGAGTCTGTCTTCTGCCCGCTTCATAAAGAGGAATTGTCCCCATTAGTAATATCCATAGCAGCAAATAGATTGCAGCTTAGTCAGGCATGCCACCCCCCATGCTCTTGCACCGATTTCCACCAATCACTGGGTTCGATATTCGTTGTTGAATCACAGACTTTACTCACAGTTGTGGTACCAAGAGTGAGTTTTATTAGAGAAATAGGTTGGGGAGTTGGAGAGGCAAAGAATATATCAGTCCAGCAGTCCCAAACCAAATTAACAGCAAATCCAATTCCTTAATTAATAAAAGTGCTGGTTTCAGTTCAACAACACAAATTCACAAAGCCTCTGGTTTCCTCAATCATCAAACAGAGTTCTCCTCAAAGCAGTTATAAGTCAGCTTCTTTAGTCATCTGACAAGAATAGCAAAGCCTTTAATTATGGCCTTTATCTCAGCTCTCCTCTGGTTACACCTTGCCACAGTTTCTCCATTGCAGTACCACAGTCTCTCTGTCTCTATCACCTGGGTTTCACTCTCATCAGGGTCTCACTTTCTGTAGGGTCTTGCTTCAGTCTCCCTCAAATCTTGCTGTTCAGTGTAGAAAGCACTTTCTCTCATATCCTAGTCCCACAGCTCTTGATGATTTGTGAGACCATGTGTCTGCAGTCAAGGTAGCTGGAGACCAGAGGGGGATAATGCAATACCTAGAAAAGCCAACTTTCAAGCTAACATCCAACAAGTCAGTATTTTTTTTATCTTTAGTATTACTCACTGACTCACTCACTCATTGCTGTTCAGTTGAAACCAACTCATCACTTACCATCCAGCAGGTTTTCAAAAGCTGTACGTTGCATATGCAGAGAGTGCCTTTTTTCTCACAAGAGTAGCTGGTGGATTCAGACTGCTCACTTTTGGTTACCAGTGCAACGCCTCACCCACAAGGCCGTCAGGGAACCTTACTTCTTCTATAAGTGCTTTAGAAATTAGCCTCCTCCTAAGGAATGCTGATTAAAATAGAGCTTTCATTTGATTTAGCAGTGAGTCCTTAACCATTGTACCTCCTGAGTTCCTTATGAACATACAATACAGCCTTATTTGCTGAAAGCGAAGGGCACCTGAAGCACTGGTTACAGAAGATCACAGACGACAGCCTTCAATATGGATTACATTTTAAGATCAAGAAGACATGTTGGGGGAAGGGGTGGGCAGGGAGAAAAGTGCAACAATGAATGAATGGAAATCCAAAGTCTCTGTTAAGTTTCATTAAAATGAATAATAATTAAAAAAATTTTAAAAGAAGACAAATGTCCTTACCACTGGGCCAGTGAACAATATCATGATGCATGGAGAATGAATTTTAAGTTGCTAATGATCTGTCTTACTTGGATCCACCATCAACCCCCTTAGTATTAGCAGGCAGGATACACGCAGACATATTGCTTTTGGCAAGTTCATTGTCTGAGACCTCTCCAAAATACTCAAGAGTAGTGATACCAGTTTGAAGGCGAATATGCATCTGATAGAAGGCATGCTCTTTTCAATCACTTGCTAGAAATCTGAGCGCCGGACAATGAATAAGGATGTCAGTAGAAGAATTGATGCCTTTGATTTATGGTATTGCAGAAGAGAACTAAATATCATGTGGATTGCCTAAAGAATGAATAGGTATGTCTTGGAAAATATGCAGCTGGCGTGCTTCTTGAAGGTAAAGATAGAAAAGCTTTATCTCTCGTATTTTGGACATGTCGCTAGGAGAGGCTATTACAAGCATATCCTTGGTAAGGTGGAGGGTCAGCGAAAGAGCAGAGGTGGATTGACATGGTGATTACAGCAATGGGCTTAGGTGTATCAGAGATGGTGAGGATGGCACAGGACGGGACAAGAGTCACATCTGTTGTCCACAGGGTTATACTTGACTAGACAATGCTTAACAACAACAGCAACAGAAATAGATTTCTCATTTCACAGAATAGGCTTTGCATTTAAAACCCTTCCCCATTGTACTAACTCAACTGCATGTCCTTTGGAGGGTTTAGAGCTTGCAGTGTGGAGTTTAGGGTTCCTGGAATGTCTGGACCCTTTTCTGTGTGCCAACTCCACCCCGAGAGGCAAGCTCCTGGTGGTGGCAGTGGGCGGAGCTTGTGTGACACCAAGTACCAGGCTCACAGGTAACGGAATGCTCATCAGATCCGGACCGGGCTCCCTCCACTGCAACAGCTATAAGGTTGCCTGTTTGCCTGCACTGAAATGACGAAGGACAAAAACAATCCAGGGTAGGTGCAATCTCCCAGCCTCCATCTCCTGTTGCTCCCTCGGCTGTTAGGAAGAAATCCTCTCTTAGTTCCATTTTGAAATGTATTTCTGAGTTCTGTGTGAGTAAGAAAGCAAGCCTTTTGTGTAAACAGATGGATCTCTTTTGCCATTTGCTTCCTCGTGATGTGAGACCATGAATAAGGCAGGCTGCCAAAGGCACAGGTATTAAAGAAATGGAAACCCTTCTGGTACGTTTGGTTTGCCATATCAATTACATAGGATCCTTTCCAAAACCACAGTACTTTGTCATTTTTAAATGACATTGTTTCTAACTTCATCTTAGTCCACCTGTCATTTATTGACACCTCTTAGTGTGTCTAGTGTGTGATTTTTTAAAAATCATATGGAGAAATAATTATCATTGATGTTCTGGAAAATGTATTTCATTATGCTTCATTTTGCTTAAAATATACTATTTAAAATAATTTTCAAGATAATTACTTGAGGACAAGTATTAAAAAAAATACTCATACTATTGTCCTGAAAAGAATAGCTTTGCTAGCCCTTTATTATGTAACTTAAAATGGTAAATATATAACAGCATAGAAAATTGTTATGAGCATATGCCCCGGTGGCAATGGACATTGTTACAGGGACATGTCCCATGTGATCTCATGGTATGACAGATATGGCAGAAGCATTGAAACTTGTTCCCATTCACTCCTGAAAGAAATTTCCTTTACTCACTAGTTCATATTATTTTTAGCTATAAGTTGCCTTTTTTAAAATATCAATAATATTTTCTTTTCATTATTGATTAATTTTAGCTTCATTCAAATTAAAAACTTAGTTTATTACCTTCTGATAGGAAATTTATAAGTGAGTAGCTTGAAAAAATTTTTAAATTTGAGGAAGAGTTCTTAGCACTCACTCTGATACCTGGCTTGAGGTTTGTAACCAGGCATGAATTTGAATTCAAGAAGTCAGAAAACTGTAATTACTTGGAAAAGTTAGTGAAAAATAGGATTTGCCTGAATGAGACAGAGACTATAGGACTTGAAAGTGCTTGGTTAAGAGTTAAGCTGTCTTCCATCACTCTTGACACTTTGTTTGGTAAGAAGAAAAATCTTGGAGCTTTTCTGGCTTTTCTTCCATCAATATTTAAACAAAGGAAAACACCTTTGAGCCAAAAGAGGTAGTTTACAAGAATATACTTTAGTTACAAAGCCAGTTGAATTATCTAGAAACTTGCTCATATTGGTTCTTCTAAGAATTGACCCCAGACACAACCACCTAATGCTAGGGGCTGGAATTTATTGAGTGTTTGATGTATGTGATGTCCTGTTATGTGCCCTTTACATGTATTTACCGAGTTCTGATGGCCTAGTGAGTAAGGAGTTACACTGCCAAACCAAAGACTGGCAGTTCAAATTCGCTAGCTAGAGAGAATTCTAGGTTACCTCCTTCCCAAGAGTGAGTTCAGAATCAATGCTATATATAACAGCAATAATTTATCACAGCTACCAATTCCCATTCTAACTGGTATAGTGACATATAGAAATTAAAATTCAGTTGCTCACTGTCATAATAGTGAATGATGAAAGTAGGGCCCACCCACGGTAATGTCATTGTTGTTAAGTGCTGTAGAGTTGTAGACGACCCATAGCGACCCTACGAACACAAATCTTGAACACAAAACTTTCATCTTTTCTCCAAGTTCATAGAGTTTCCAGAGGCAAGCTTTTTTTTGGAAGTAAATGCTACTGCTTCTTATCCATAATAATAGATAAGAAAATTAAAATAACCCAATCCAAGATTAATTTTAAGGCCCTTTTATCATTTTCTTCTTTGTATATTAAAATTATAAAAGTCAAATGTGTTTATTGTTTACTAATACTCCACACATGTAAAAATATAAAAAAGCTTAAGGTTTTCATATATACTTTCTAAATATACTCTCCTGCTTTGTATAGTACATTTTCCTTCATATTTAAGCAATACTGAGTCCTGGTTGCAGTTAGTGCCTCCCGAGTTGCCCCGCTGATTTAAAGTCAGTACCTCCCTAGCTATTCAAATCCACCAGTGGCTGTGCAGGGAGAAAGCTCCTCCTGTGTGATTTACAGCTTCAGGAAAACCGCTGGAGAGGCAGCTGTCTGTTACTACGACTTGGCAGCAAGTGAGTTGAGTTGAACTTGAAAGAATAACCACCTGTACAATTTCCCACATGCATACACATATTGAAATAAAAATGAAAATATAAACGGTGCCCTAAAAGTTTGTGTTTTATCAAGTCACTTAGCACAGAATTCACTCCAGACCAATAGAGTTATAACTCAGATTTGTATAGGTATGCAATATTTCATATGATGGATGAACTATAATTTATTCTGCAGTTGATGGATGGTTTGATAAGTGTAAGATGGATTGCCTAAGTGTTTCATACAGACACTTGACAGATAGAGTGACGTGAGCCAAATGCATTTGCTAAAGTTACGGTATTATTATGAAGATGTTCATTATAACACTGAAGTTTCATAGAGATATTTGATCAAAATTACTCCTGGAAGAAGGACGTTGTGCTAGGTGAAGTGGAAAGTTAGGCCCTCTATTTTGCTTCTTTCAGAAATGTTGCATTATTCATAACATTTAAGTTCTACAGGTCAATGTCTAGTTTCAACCAAAAATCAAAAACAGCATTTCATTAGTTTTATACAATCAATTTGATGACTAATAATTTATATATCCACCATTTTCACAATAAAATCAGCCCAGATTTCACAGCCTGAAAAAGATAAATAAATAGAATTACAGAAGCTTTAGGAGCAGATTTAAAGGCTCAGCTGAAATACTTCCCATCAATAAAAACATTCCCAAACTAAACCTGTTGCCATCAAGCCAATTCTGACTCTTGAGACAGCCTGTAGGGCAAAGCAGAACTGCCCCCACCCCCAATAGGGTTTTCAGGACTGGACCCATTCTAGGAACTATCACTTTCCCCCGTGGATTAGCTGGTAGCTTTGAACAACTGACTTTTTGGTTAGCAGCCAAGGACTTTAAACCCATGTGCCTCCTAACCAATGGAGCTCCTTAATGAAAATATTGTTGTTAGGTCGAGTTGAGTACAACTCATAGAGATCCTGTGAACAGCAGACCTGAACCCTGACCTGTCCTGTGCCAACCTCATCATCTCTGAAGCTCTTGAGCCCTTTGTTGCACACATCATATCAATCCATCTCGTTGAAGCTCTCTCTCTTTCATCGACTCTCAGCCTTTCCATGCATTATGCCCCTTTCCAAGGAATAGCCCTTTCTGGCAACCTACCCAATATATGACAGACGAAGCTATGCCATCTTTGCTTCCAAGGAGCACTCTGATTGCACTCTTTCCAAGATGTATTTGTTAGTTTTTCTGGTAGCCCATGGGATATTCAGTATCCTTCTCTAACACCACAACTCCAAGGCATCAGTTATTCTTCTGTCATCCTTCTTCATTGTCCAGCTCTCAGATGCATAGCGAATGATTGAAAACCAGGGCCTGAATTGCTCAGTTTTTTGGAGGGACACGTATCAGCCAACTTGCCCAATTCAGTATGTCTCCTGATCTCCAGACCACTGGTACCAAGGGTTTTGATTCTTGATCCAAATGAGATGAAATCATTGACGGCTGCAGTCTTTCACCATCTATTGTGATATTGCCTATTGAGCTAGTGGTAAAAAGCTCTATTTTCTTGATGTTGAGTTGTAATCCATTTATAAGTCTTTGATCTTCTACAGCAAGTGTTTCAAGTCCTCCTCACTTTGAGCAAGCAAATTTGTGTCATCTGCATATTGCAGAGTGTTGAAGAGTCTTCCTCAGAACCTCTTGCCACATTCCTCTTCATAGACTCTCTCTTCACCAATAATTTGCTTAACTACAGATTGAATAGGTATGGAGACAGGCTATCTCCCTGGCATACACCCGTCTTGATTTTTAAACCATGCAATATTCCCTTGCTCTGTTCAGATGGTGGATTCTGCGTTTAGCTATAGATCTTGTGTGAGCACAATGAAGGGTTGTGGGATTCCCAGTCTTCTCATTGTTATCCATAGTTTGTTATGACCCACAGTGTCAGTTGCCTTTGCATCGAGTCTTTGGCCTGCAGCAGATCTCCCAGGCAACTGGGAAGATAGCAGAGTAGCCCACCCTGTGCCAAGCACCAGCACCAAAACGGGGCGGGGGGGAGCTAAGCCACTGCCCTTGCCAAATACCCCTATCCAGGACCCCATCTTGCCACGTTGCCAAGGGCTTCAGTTGGGGCCAGAAAGAGCATCCTGCACCAGAATAATTGAATGCCAGATTGTCCTTATAGTCTGCTCTTCTTAGAGTTTGCCACCTCTCAGTTCCTTATAAGGGGAATGATTTACCTGTTCCTATATTAATGAAAATGTTAGCTAGGGTCAAATAAATGTCCTTTAAACTTTTGGTTTCATTTTTTTTAAGTGTCAAAACAAACTGTGCATCTGAATCCCTAATGTTACCCATGACTCATTCTATTTATAGATGCTAACATAATTTTCAAAGAGATACTGGCAGTAGACCAGGTGATAGATGATTCTCCAGAACAGTGTTACTCCAAATATTGGCTAGTCTAACCTTTGTCACTCATAGAAATGGAGCTTTCTGAGGCCCCACCCAGAGCTCTTGACACCCTGGATTCTGGATGATTTTTATATAGAGAGAAAAATTTAAGAATGTGTCTTGTAAAGGTATGGTCTGCTGTAGCTGGTACTGCAGGAGAGACAGGCAGTATTTTTCTATTGGACCTTTGCTAATTCCCACATTTCAGTGAGGGGTTTTCTTCTGGGTGGTGAAAGTCCATGCTGTCAGGACCCTTAGTTAAAAATCTTTGAAAATTCTTCCATACTTACTTTCCTCACTAGTTTTGCAACCAGGACATGCTGCAATGAATGTAATGACATTTCACTTGTGTCCATACATAGGAGCCATTAGCAGTTTTCACTTTGAATACAGAGAAGAACTG